GATTTCACTCCCAAGGACTTAGAGACCAAAACAAACGAGAAAAAAAGTCTCCGAAATTCCAACATGGTGAGTCCTATTAAAGTGACAGGCATCCAGAGTTCTAAGTAGTATTGCAGGCAGTCCCCGCTTTTTCCAACAGTACATTCCTGGAATACATAATGGAATTTGACAAAGATGCTATATTCCTAGTGAGATGGCCCCACAGAAACTGCTCTAAATAAACAGCACCAAACAAACTGGTAAACCATATCTTTAAACAAACAATGCTTCAACAATGAAAGGGTCTATGTTACTAAAAAGTTAAGCATCCATCCTATAAAAATACACAAACAACATGTTTCAAAAGTGTTTTCAGGATTCAAAGAGGAATACAACAGTTATGAGAATTATAACTCACTGGCCAAAAACATTTTTAAATGGTTGTATTATCTGGTTTCCTTCTAGAAAAATTTGAGGCAATGCTTTTCTTTTTTCTCAAAAAATTTCCCTGTTCTAGAAGGGGCATCCAAAATCATCTCACTGACTCTAGAGCTGCCCTGAGTACTGAGTTGATTTTTAATAATCATTCACAGTGAAAAGCATTTTTTAAAAGTAAGACCACACCACCATTTCAGAAAGTGTGATAAATGGATATAGGTTTTAGAATACAATTAAATTTCAAATCCTCAATGTGACACTTAGTGTCACGTGATCTTGACCATTTCCTAACCACTCTAAGTTTCAATTTCCCCACCTGTAAAACAGAAACAACACCTACCTCACCACTGTTAGATTAGTAAATGTATGAGGAGTAGCTTATAAGTTGTGGGCATTCAATAAATGTTGTCTACATTAATATTACTGTCTTTTTATTATTACATTTCTTCTATCTCCTTCGTTTATCCAAGGTTAAAAGTTCAGTAGTCCTGAATTAGATTCAACAAAGGACAAAAGGAAAAGGTATTTAATAATGTAATAAAATATTTTTTAACTAAGACCCTCTCACAACTACCCAGTGACAACTACTATTAACATTTTAGAGTAATCCATCTAGCCTTTTTTCCTCTCAATGAAAATGTTTTCTGTAGAATTACTAAAACTAGAATAAAAGTATGTTCCAACTATGTGCCACCAGAATACCAGTCAAAAAGGCAGAGAAAATGAAAGAACAGCAGTAAACTGAGAACATAAACTAAGTGAAACACTGGAATGCTCCACAGGAATAAAAACTCCAGCAAGTTGCATAGCAATGTGAATGTACTTAATGCCACTCAGCTTTACACTTAAAAAAATGGTTAATTATACATTTTATGTCATGTATATTTTGCCTCAAAATAAAGAAAAACTCCTAGAAGTCAGGGCTTGGTCCATTTTGTATTCTTAGAACTTAGAATGTACCAGCTCATTATACTGAATAACTATTCCCTGAATAAAAGTAAACAAGTTAATGATAGCGATAGGTTAGTGATAGGATACAATTTCTAGTTTCCAACTTAGTCAACTATGAAGAATATGGGTAGTGAGGAGATAACCTAAAAATTGTTTACAAGAAACATACCTTGATGATTTACTACTGATACTGACGACATCAGCTTAGCCCCTATATCGTTCCATGCTAGTGAACTCAGATGCCCAAGGCTTTGTACCAAACTAAAACCACAGGTTAAGGGCCTCACCAATTGTTTGAGTTGAAGTTTGCCTAATGGGTGAAATGTAAATAGGGTCACCTTAGAGTCAGCAGAGGTATATTAAGGCCACGGCTGACTAGCTTCATGTGACTTGTTTCATCAGCAAGACCTGCATACTTCTGTACTGGCATTTCATATCTACAGGAAACTACAAAACCCTCACATCTAAAAAAGTACTTCAAAAATTCCTAACATGAAATTCTGATATGCTTTTTTAGAATTTATTCACATCTTGACAAGACTGAGAAAGATTAATCCAGTGAACTATCACTTACTGATACCTACTATGGAACATTAGGGCAGGTTATTGGGATTCACGGGTAACTCAGGGTTAAGACAGGTCAATGTACAGCTTACATCTACTTCCCTGGCTGTTATTACTTCACGTACCCTAGACAAATGAAAATCTGTTTTTTTTTTTAATCTTTTAAAACTCACCTGTTGAGTTAGCACTAGAGTTGTGTGGAGGCACAGAACTCTCTATGTTTGCAGATGCTGTAAAAAGAAAGAAACATCCTGTTATGAAAGAACATTTAAGAATACTGGCAATGTGGTTTTCTGCCTAAGGGGAGGCAGGGGAGTGGTGTGGGGGAAGGTGGATTATTCCACAGTAAGTTCTACTTTTGCCCCTGTTGTTATGAAACATACCTTGAAGCTCTCAGTAAAACAAACTGTATAATCGGGTTTTTCAAGATAAAAAACATCTAGCTTACGTAACACTTACATAGTACTTACTATGTACCAGCCACTGAATGCAATAGCTTTGCCAAAATTCATTCACCCACATAAAGACAGAACAGTTGGGGACCATTTCAGGAGAGGACTTTGAACTCATAGGCATCTCTAGGTCTCGCACCACCAGCACCCTAATTTCACACCATGGAGGGATAAACAGGATTTTCTCATCTAACTGCAAGCCTTCTCAGTACCATTTTAATTTTTAAACTAGTACCTTTAGATTTGGAAAAAACGTAAGAGATTTCTATATCCCAATTAAGCAACTTTCCAGAGTGGTTTATTCATTTTGAGTCTTTGTGTAATGAAGATTAAATATGCATACCACAAACAAAGACAGAAAGTACATTACTGGGTCCTTTTCACAAAGATGAACTCTCCCCCACTTAAAAATCCTCAAAGTACAAAGAAAAGCAATAACTTGGAAGGATTTATCTTTCCTTCTTGGGCAAATTTCTTTCTTGTGAAAATTTCTTCTTCTTGATGGGACTACCATCTGTTTATCACAAAAGGATACAGCGTAAGATTAACTTGAAAAAAGATCAAGGTCAATAGACTACATAGATGTATTCAGCAGCAGGAATCAAATAACTGCCAACATCATTAGATGCTTATCACAAGCCAGGGTTATGTGCACTAGCTATCTAACCCTCCCAACAGTTCTTAGGAGTATTGTTTTGCAGACAAGAACTGAGGCCCAGAGAAGGCCACCCAGATACAAAGTGGCAGAGTCTGAAACTGGAACAGGCTGTTTGGTTCCTAAGCCTGCAGATATGAGTGCCAAAATGGAACTACTGATTTTATACTATAAACCTGCTCCTCCACGCAGCCCTCCCAATTGTTGCCTTACCAGCTCCTCAACCCCAAAATGAAGAAGTCATCCTTTGATTCTTTTCTCTTTCTCATCCCACCCTCCAATCCATCAGCAAGTGATTAGTCCCACCCACTCCAACAGATCTAGAATCTACCCTTTTATCTCCATTGCCACTCACCATCATCTTTTGCCTGCACTAACACAAAAGCCTGTTTTTGTGACCCTGCTATTGTCACTTATGCAACGATTTCTTAATTTCTTGACAACTTATTTGAAATCTCGAATACAGCAATTTTTAAGCCACCTTAATCCTTGCACTTTTCAGGTACAAGAGTCAAAAGGTTCCTTCTTTCCACTAAGGTTGTTCAAACTGGGTTTCTGTCACTTGCTACTAAGAGTAATGACTAATAGCCTCCCCTCCCATCCTGTTAACATTGTTCTTTGGACTACTACAATAAATCCTGTTTGCTGATTTGCAAACTTGTTCATAGTCTCCCTCCTCCTCCAACTGATGGTATTTATAAAGCTATGCAGCAGACTGTGAAGAATATTTTAAAAGTAGAATTTCAATAATGCTTTTCTCTTCTCCCACAATATTCTAGGCAATGGTAGTACTGTGGAATAAAAAGCATTATCTACTTTAAGAGCCATCATCACCTAATGTGGCTTAGTGGTGAAATGGTTAATTGAAAATTTGGATTCTGACCTGAAACCAAACAGGTATTAATTGTTTCACTTTCCATAAATTAGTTTACTTATCTGTAAAATGGGGATAATAACTGCAAAGATCCAATGGGATGATTTAGAGAACGAAATTAGCATTGCGTGAGGTGTACAGAAAATGTTCCCAGTAAAAATCAGCCATATGAGTTTTAGTATGTTAAAAATCACTACACTTCGTAAGGGCATTTTATACAGATTACACTATATCTGAAGACTAGGATAACAGTTCCTTGCTTTTTTGAGAAATATTCTGTCATACCTTCTTTTAGTCTAGTTGCAAGGTGACATTATTCTGTAAAAACAGATTCCACCTCAGGTTGGTTATACTAGTTCATGAACTCAGGGCTCTCCTACTGCAGAGCATTTTAAGTTTTCCAAATGGTACTAACCTCTAGTAAGACATTAAGTAATAAACAGAACAGCGAGTGTTAAAATAGGGCAAAAGAAAATCGGTGTTAGGAGGGCAAAAGAAAAAAGCATGGTCACTCACAGTTTCTCTGATCAATGGAGAAACAATAAGGTTTATTTTCACAAACATAGCAACAAATTTTAAACAATGAAGACTTCACGTCATGAAATAAGTTGTCTAAAATTAGCACTAAGATCCTCGATGGACATGATTTTACCATTTTCTGAAATGATCTCAAAATTAGGTCTGGGAAGCCAGTTTGTCTCATGCACAATTAAGCAAGCAAACAAACAAAAACTTCAACAAAACAAAGAAAAATTAATTCACCCAGATTATTCCAGCAAAAGCAAGTGATGTGCCTGAACCTTCCGGATTTACAGCTGCCTTTTCTCTTGCTGAATAAAACGAACCTAAGGCTAAATATACAGTGGATGGATAGAATTTAAAAGCATGAAAACCTTAGGTCACCTCAAGTTAACTTTTCCTAGTTTACTGACCACTACCCGAGGGACCTGACTTAACAGTTGACCAAGGAAAACAGAAGTTACACAGCAAATCCCAGCTTCCTGGTTTCATCCTAAAAGGGCTTTTTAAAGTCTCCAACGGGCCAAGGGCCTAAAAGGAAACAAATTCTGCCCTACACAGAAGAGCAATGCCAACATCATCCTGTGACCACCTTACTAGCGACGTGGTGGGCCCCTTGCAACCGTGCCGCTGTGCCCTTAACGCTGCGCAGCGGACGCGCGCCACGGCCGGGTGTTCATTGCACACGAGGCGCGCAAAGCGCTCCACCATGGGGGCGGCCGCGTCAACTGCCGCGAGGGCGGGTCGCGCTCCCTAAAAGCTCCCAGCTAGCTTCAAGAGCCCCAAGGTCTAACTTCGAGCGTCACGGGGACCTTAAGACCGTAAGTCATCTAGATAATATTGCACAATCTTAGACGTTAAAATGCCGGGTAGACGCCTGAAACGCTCCCCAACTAACTGGGAGACGCTTCCGCGGGCCTCGGTAGACATATTTCTCAACTCAGCTAATCCTGTTTACAAACGGAAGCCTTAGATAAACTCTAACCCCGGTAAACATTAACTTCGGGGAAAGGCTGTAAAAACCAACTTGCGATAACTCAACAGGTTATTCGCAACCGTTCCGGCCTGCGACCGCCGCTTCCAGAAAGCGAGAGGGAAGGCGCCCGGGAATTTCCTCAGCAGGCGGCCCCGGAGCCAGCGGGAGACCGGCCCAAGTCTCAGTTTCTCCCCAGCCCGCCCAGTCACCTCCGGGTCCCCTCCGTGTGTTCGGCCGGAGACACACAAACTTTCCGTACCAGAGCCCAACTTGGGAACCCAAGCCTCGGCAGCGCGCTGCCTCCCAGGAAGGGGGCGAGCGACCCCCGCAGCTACTTACCCGCCGAGGCTGCGCTGTACTCCGGGGCGGCCCCCAGCAGCGCCAGCACCTGCAGCGTCCCCAGGAGCAGCGCGGCCCAGGCACCTCGCGCGCCGAGTCCCATTGTTCCAAGGGCAGGATGCGGCGGCCTCGTGGGTTCCCAGCTGAGGAGGCAGCAGCGAGAGCGGCCCCTCTGCGCAGCCGGCGCCGGCCCCGCGTCCCCTCAGGCGGCGCACGTCTCCCCTCCCGCCGCTTGCCCCCCAATGACCAAATAGGGCGCAGGAGCTGGGCCTGGAGGGGGCGTCGCGTGCGCAGCGGGAGCGGCGAGGCCGGGCGGGGCGGCGCGGGGGCGGGCTCGGGGTTCTGGGCGTGGCAACGCGGCTCCCGGCCTCCCTCGCAGGCGCGCGACTGGGAACCCCAGAAACCGCTTCCTTTCTTTTCAGAAATGGCAGTTCTGTTGTCCTGGATGAAGGCGAGCGCCGCAGCCTCTCCGAATGCTGAGCACGCGGGCTTCGCAGTGCCCGAAAGGAAGTCTTTGAAGAGTAGTTTTGCCGGCAGGGAGGTTACAGGGGTGCGTGCGGCTCAGAGTGGGAGGGTGCAGCTGCAGGGCGGGGGCGGCAGCAGGGGGAGGTCCTGGAGACGAACTTGGGATGCGATTCACTGTTAAGGAGTCCTGGGCGGTTGGAGCTTCCCCCTTGTGTGACCCAGCCTAAGGGGGAAGTGGAGAAAAAGAGCTCGACAGATTTGTTGCTTAAATTCAAACGTAAAACACCCACACGCTCCTTATCCCAGTTGTACCTCATCTTCTCCACGGGTTCCTTGTTATCTCTGGATAAGACAAGAGATTAGTGTAGTGGGCGGGTGGGGCGCGCGCGGGAGTTGGTAGCAACTAGCGCCGAAATACGGTAGAGCCACGGCGAGCGGGGGCTGCATTAACCTAATCAGCCCCTTCTGTCCTTGGGCCCCGCTGTCCCACTTCGGATGAAGTGGCCAGTTTTGAACAATTTTTGGCCGAGTTCCTCTTAAACCCTTGGAGCCAATGCTGCTCACTTGTCTTGACTTGCCGTGCTGGTAAGGTCTGCATTTTGATTGTGTCCAGAACTCTGAAGTGACAGCGACCTGTGGCTGATGCAGGCAGATAACAGGCTGAGTGCTGGCTTGGGTGGGAACCCTCAGCGGAGGTAGAACACGGAAGGATCCAGGGTGCCTAAAATCACAGTGAATCCCCACCTGCAAAGGTCTTAATAGTACAGATCTTTGGCACCTGGGCCGGATTTCATCACATAAAGGCCTCCTTGCTGTTAAGTTCTCAAAACTGTGTTATGAGAGGTAGCACTTTCTCGTGTCAGGCAAATCCATCATTACAGAGGTCTGACTGGTCATAGTGATTAACTGGGACAATCTGCCCTGAATTTACAAAGATTTCCGTCTGTGGATTCAATCAGCCAATCTGCAAATGTTTCCCAGCATCTATTATGGACAAAAAACAAGCACTGCACATTTCGGTTTTGGTTACTTAACTGGTGAATCTGGTTTAGGAATAAACCGTTCTGGTGACTACCCCATTATCCAAGCATTTCACAATGTAGGCTCAACCTGTCTTTCCAATCTTGGTGCTTTCTGGTTCCTGGCATTTGTATACCTTGTTTTTTCCTTCTGGAATGCCCTCCTCCATTCTCTTCACCAACCCACAGCTAGTACTTGCTTTAAGGCACGGTGTACTTATAGCCTGAGAATCTGGGTGGAATAAGAGGTCTGGATGTGTATATCCCCACCACATTCATGTGTTGAAACCTAATCCTCAAGGTGATGATATTAAGATGTGGGGCTTGGCCAGGTGTGGTGGCTCATGCCTGTAATCCTAGCACTTTGTGAGGCTGAGAAGGGTGGATCATTTGAGGTCAAGTGTTCAAGATCAGCCTGACCAACATGGTGAAATGGGGTCTCTACTAAAACTACAAAAAATTAGATGGGGATGGTGGCACACACCTGTAATCCCAGCTACTCAGGAGGCTGAGGCACAAGAATTGCTTGAACTTAGGAGGTGGAGGTTGCAATGAGACATGTTCACTCCACTGCACTCCAGCCTGGGAGACAGAATCGCTTGAACCTGGGAAGTGGAGGTTGCAGTGAGCCAAGACCACTCCACTGTGCTCCGGCCTGGTAGACGTAGTGAGACTTGTCTCAAGGGAAAAAAAAAGATAGGGGGCTTTTGGGTGGTGATTGAGTTGCTAATGCATGGGATTAGTGCCCTTATAAAGGAGGCCAGAGGGAACTTGTTTCACCCTTCTGCCCTGTGAGGGCACAACAGGAAGAAGCCATCTGTGAAGCACAGGGCCCTCACCAGACACCAAATCAGTTGCTGTCTTGATCTCTAGACATCGCAGCCTCCAGAACTGGGACAAATAGCTTTCTATTGTTTATAAATTTGTTTATAACGTATTCCATTTAAGTTATTTGTGTTATAGCAGCAGAAATGGACTAAGACAGTGTGCAAAACAAGATATTTACTTGGACAATTTTTCCTGGGAACTGACCTGATGGAGATACGTTCAGATCTCTGCTATCTGATTGCCGCACCACAGTGAGTGAGTGTGCCCAGCTTTGCTTTGATACTAACAGCTCAGTAATGTGGGTTGCCCATGTTTTTTCTAGTCTGAGAGGGGAAAGAGCAAGGAACTGTGGCCTTCCTGCTCTCTTAGGAATTCTATTGGGAGGACTATCCTCCCAGGGGACGTTGTAGCCCCAGGTGTGCCTCGGGGTCAGCCCCTATCACTGTACCAACATTTTACTTAGGTGATGTGAAAAGTTAAAAGAACAGTATGGGAAGCCCTTGGCCATTTAGGTCTCTCCTTTCCAGCCTCATATCTGGATCCCTCTCTGTAACTTGACCAGACCAAAGTTTTCCAAATATGCTGGGGCCTTCCGTGCCCCTATGTTCTTGCTCCTGTTCTTCCCTTTGCCTGAGATGCCCTCTAACCTCTGCTCTTGGGCAGTTTCCACTCCTGTTGCAAGAGTCCCTTCATATCTCATCTCCCCAGCCATCTGGGCAGATTTTAGTGCTTGGATCCTTCTGCTCATACTTTGATAAGATGGGTCTTTACCCTCGTTCCCTATAAAATATTCCCCACATAGCAGCCAGTGTGATTCTTTTAAAATGTCAGATTATGCTCTTCCCTTGCCACCTTACAGAGTCCAAAACCATGGCCTATAAGACCTATGTGACGTGGTCCATGGCTGCCCGTTCCACCTCATTTTCTACCCTCTTCTTCACCTACTCAGTTGCAGCCTCCTTGTAGCATTTAGAAATGTCCAGTCAGTTCCCCTCCCAGAGCCTCTGTACTTTCTGCCTCCTCACATCCTTCAAGATTATGCTCATCTGAGAAAAAGCCTTCTCGAATTCCCTAGTTTACAGCTCTGCTTGTCTTTGTGGCATCTATTAAGTTCATTTATGTGTTTTTGTCTATCCTACAAGAATATAAGTTCCTTGAAAATAAAAATGTGAATGTATATTTTTGGCCTAATGCCTGTTGCATATTGCTACGGAATTTTTGTCATGCAAGTCACTTTACTTTTTTTTTTCTTTTGAGACAAAGTCTTGCTCTGTCACCAGAATGGAGCATGGTGGCACGATCTCAGCTCACTGCAACCTCCGCCTCCAGGTTCACAGGATTCTTGTGCCTCAGCCTCCTGAGTAATTGGGACCACAGGCATGTGCCACCATGCCTGGCTAATTTTTTTATTTTTAGTAGAGACAGGGTTTCCCCATGTTGGCCAGGCTGTTTTCAAACTCCTGACCTGATGTGATCCACCTGCCCCGGCCTCCCAAAGTGCTGGGATTATAGGCATGAACCATCATGCCCAGCCTGCTTTCTTTTATTTAGAACTCAGATTCCCAGCCTTCATTACAACTGGGCTCAAGAATATGACCTAGGCTTTGCCAGTCAGGTTCGTTCATAGCAAACTTAAATTCAGGTATGAGTAATCAGAGGAAAGTGGCTCATAATGGAACTCCTTGACTTTCTGGTATGAATAGCCCTAATAGCCAAGCGCTGGCTTTGTTGGCAGCACTAGCAGTGAAATTAGTTCCTCAGTGATTGTAACATTGAGTTTCTAATGTAATAGTGGTATTGATGGAGAGCTGCAATGGCGATAGTTTTCTCACTGGGCTAGTTCTGCAGTGCTTTTGTGCATTATTCCTGGAGGCTTGGCCCCAGTCCTAAATCTCTACACCTTCTAACACACCTGAGAGCTACCCAATATGTTCAATATAATTCTTTTCTATGTTGGCAAGAGTCAGCAGCTTTTCTTTCATACAACTAAGGATCCTGACTTTGTATGATTGTGCATGTTTTTCCCCACAGTGGGCTACAGTCTCCATTAGATGATTTGCCAAATATTTATTGAGTGCTTACTCAGAGATAGACTATGTCCTGGCCCAGCTTACAGTATAGTGGCAGGGCAGATACATAGATGATTACACTAGAATGTGATAAATGCTATGAAGTGATCATGGAAAAGCACACGTTGGAGGCACAGTCGATGTGTTCATCTTTGTATCTGAGGCTTTAATGCACTTTCATCATATAGAAGCATTCAGTTTATATTTGTGGAATGAATTTTGGGTGGAGATAAACAGCAGCAGAATGCTGGTGTTCTTCTCCATCAATAGTGTTCTCTTTGCATCCAACCTGTATTTCCTGTATGTCTGAGTCTTTAACTTAGGGTCACCTGAGGGTAGACCAGAAGTTGGAACTTTCATTTACTCACTTAGTCAATATTCAAACATTTCCTGTAATCCTAGCACTTTGGGAGGCCAAGGTGGGTGGATCACCTGAGGTCAGAAGTTCAAAACCAGCCTGGCCATCATGGTGAAACCCCATCTTAAAAATATATATATATTCAAACATTTATTGAACAGTTGACAGGTATCAGACACTATGCTGGATGCTAGGAAACAGTAGAGAATAACACAAGTCTATCTGCCTTGTAAAAAGACACCAATGAGTCCTTTGAAAGTTAGTTGGTTTCTACCCATAGAGACAGAAAGTATTATAGAATGGTGGTTACCAAAGGCTGGGAAGAGAAGAATGGGGAGTTTTGTTTAATGAGTACAGAGTTTTAATTTAATTTTGCAAGATGAAAAGAGTTATGAAGATGGATGAGGTGATGATTACACACAGTTTGAATATACATAATACTACTGAGCTGTATATGTAAAAATGGCTAAGATGATACATTTAATGTTATATATATTTTACCACAATTGAAAAAAATTATACCCCTGCCCCCCAAAATAGAACAATAAAATTTTAAATGTTGTTAAGAGAAAAATGTGAGTTGGTTTCTAAATATGAATGGTAAAAGCTGCTGTTATCATTGTAAAAATATATAGAGATTGCATGTTTTCTCAGTGAGATTTACTTATATCCCACAGTAAATTTTGATTCATTTTTTAAAAGAAACAGGTGACAGAGGACGGTTCATCTGGCTTGATATGCACAGATAATTATCTTCTAGCTATGTATGAATTAGTCTGTTAATAAATCAATATTTGCATAATGAAAGAAT